CCCTCGGTATATTTTGTTGGAAATAAACATTTTCAACTATACAATCTGGTAAGGCATTTGATGGTGACGATAAAATTTCACCGTTTATTTTATGTATTTTTTGATAATTTGTTACATTTCCACAGCTTTACTATGGTTGTTTTCCATTTGTCTTCCTTTTAGCCAGCATTAATTATATTTGGAAATTAGCAGAGGGCTAATATTTTATCCAAAGAGTCCCAAATTCCAGTTTATTTTGGTTGTGATGAAATAATAAAAAATGAATATGTATCAGCTTGTTGGAAAGTATTTTATGTTGTTAAATAAAGCATGTATGACAGAGATGTAATTATAAACACTGGTAGGGCAGAAAGAATGGATGGGCCTTCATTGCAAAAGCATGGTGGGAGGGTGATGTCTGAGGATCAGACATAACCGCATCCACAATGAGAGTAGAGGTTGAGGCAGTCATTGCGGTGTTCCGATGAGTGGAGAAAAATCTCAGCCACACATAGTGTCGGATTAGCAAAATATGCTCATAGAGGTGATCTGGTTTTTCCGGATTGAATGGGTTGCATCAGTCCAGAAGTAGCAGACGGTGAGAGTCACATGGAATTTTTGCCCGGGCCATGTTTGAAAATCAGCAGGCGGATAGGCTGTATGGACTGGCCCATCTTATAGGTGTCGCACATGGCATGGTAACAAGTAAAATGAAAGATACTGAAAACTTGATACAACTGGGAGCTCTGAGGCAACTTTGAAAGGCAAAACGAATAGTTAAACGGATGACAACAGGGACCATTAGTATGGAAACTCTTCGCTGGCTGTTTAAGAAGGGGAGCGAGCTAATATAAGACAGTCATCCCAGATGTGTGACAGGAAAATAACGTTTATTCTTTGTTGTTACGTAACTAAATGTTTTGATCGGTTCGCATCCTTCCTCCCTTCCGGTTTTGTACCCTGTGAACTACTACTTGTAGATTTAATACCCTGCGATTACAGAATCTTAAATTGGATGGCAGACTAACGGCAAATGCTAGATACCCCATTAAACCTGCACAGAGGTTATTATTAGGACTGCTGCGACTGAGCTTCATCGTTCGTTCAGCCTATGATGTATTACCGTCTGGTGTCAACATGGTCAAGTGGAGTGCGACTAGCGACCCGTCATGCCCGCTATGCAGAGCGAAACAGACGTTAGAACGCGTACTGTCCGCATGCAGAAAAGCCCTAGGTCAAGGCAGATATACATGGCGCCACAACAAGGTGCTACAAGAGTTAGCAGCTGTTGTGGACCAAGCTAGGAGGAGGGCCAACGCGAGAGCCAGTCCTACCGTCGTTCCCATACGTTTCCTCAAGGCTGTGCAGATTCAACAACGTCGCATACGCTCCATCTATGCTAGACTCTGCGAGGGACTGGTTACTGGCGGTTGACCTGCCTGGCCATGAAAAGTACCCTGAGTTAATCCGAAAGACCGGCCTGCGACCTGACATAGTTCTCTACTCTGCTGAGAAACGGCAGCTCATCCTGATTGAGCTGACCGTCCCGTATGAGTCGCAAATGGGCGAAAGCCATATGTACAAGCTCGAGAAGTACTGTGAGTTAGCAGCCGGTCTGAGGAGGGACGAAGCGTACACAGTAAGTCTTCGCCGTCGAAGTAGGCGCAAGAAGTCTCGTTTCCACTTCACTCTACAATTTGATTAAAGAACTGGGCTTACGTGGTAATGAACGCAAACGGACACTTAAACAGCTGGGCGAGGTTGCTGAGAAGGCCTCGAGCTGGCTCTGGACACAACGGAACAACGTAGGGGACGGGCCTCGGTGAGCTGGTCCGGGTGTCTAGCGGAAAAGAATTTCTCATCCCTTAAAGTCCATCGTGTCCGAATTGTCTGCCAGTGCCCCTCTGCCACCTTCTAAAAAGTCCAACATGTATCCGGTAAACCAATCGTAAGCTTGCCGCTCGGTCGTCCAGGTATGCAGACTGCTTTAATTATGCTACCGCAACGACTTCTTATCTCATAGTACCTTTAGCAAATCACCAATTCGTCTTGTCCTGTCCGAATAACATCCGGTAATTCGTGCAGCAGGGGAAACCAACCCTGAGCTTCATGAACTCAGGTGGGCCCACTCTCTGAAAATGTCTAGGAGCTCGTGGGCCGAAACATTTGTCGACGAGAGGTTACTTCTACTGATGATCGGTAGACCCCTGCTGTACATGCTCCCCTGTGGAGTTTCTTCTTATCTTATAGGACACCCATAACGGCTACACCAGCCTGGGCTAACCTGACGTTCGGTGCAGATAAGGTTATGGGTAACCTTTTTGAAACCGCGACTGATAACTTGATCTCTCTTTCTCTCTCTCTCTCTCTCTCTCTCTCTCTCTCTCTCTCTCTCTCTCTCTCTCTCTCTCTCTCTCTCTCGCTCTCTCTCTATTGATGTTCAGATCTTTTAAGATGTCAATATTTCTCATCTTCTTTGTCCAAGATATTCTGAGAATCTTTCTATAGCATTTCAGCTCAAAAGCCCCCTATTCTCTTTCTTGAGGACTGAGATAGTCCACGACTCACATCCGTATGTAGCCACAGGGAAGATGCATGCTCTCAAAATTCTAATTTTTATGTCCTTGCTGGTGCTTAACCATAGACTTTTAAGGCTGTTCAATCTTTGCATTGCTATGGCCATCCTCCTTTTAATCTCTGTTGAACAGTCTCCATTGTTGTTTATTATAGAGCCTAGATATTCAAAGTTAGTGACATTTTCAATATCTTTATCATTTATTGCTATTTTTGGGTGACAACCAGTTTTATCTGTGGACATTATTTTCGTTATCTTTAAATTCAAGAACAAGATTTTGATCTTCACTGTGCTTTTGGACAGACAATATTAAATTTTCTATTTCCTTTACGCTGTTCGAAAGGAGGACTGTGTACCACGTAACACGTATATAATATTACTGTTATTCTTTCCCGCATAGGGCTAGGGTTATTAAGTAGCCAGCTCCTTCCCCGTCTTCAGCAGCAAGCGAAGAGTTGCAGTTCCTATGGCACTAGTAACTGTATATCCATCTCGCCTTTTCCGTGAGTGTTGAGCGTCAACCAGATCCCCTGGTAACTCCTCGCAGCGCCATTCTTTCCCAAAGAAGTCTTACAACATATGGCTTGTCATACATCAGTTCCCCACCAAGCTGTGCAGAACCAGCAAGTCTGTCTGCCTGTTCGTTTCCCAGCGAACCGGCATATCCTGGAGAAAATATCCAAAGCTAACTACCCGAGACGTATGAACCAATGCTTTGCCACTCTGCGCGGAGCATGAGTGTCTTCATCTTTCTCAACATGCTCTGGGAGTCAGTTACAAATACATATGTGTTTAGCTGGTTCTCAAGCCAGGAGAGGGCAGTAATACTGCCTCCGCCTATATTCTTAACATAGTTCTACACTCAAGCGGAAAAACACCAGCTCATCCTGATTGAGCTGACCGGGCCGTACGAGTCACGGATCGTGGAAAATCACATGTACAAGCTCGAGAAGTACTGTGAGCTCATGGCCGTTCTGAGGAGAGATGAAGCGTACGCAGTAAAAAATCTTCGCTGTCGAGGTAGGCGCAAGAGGTACAATGAGCCTAAGCAGCTAGGATTGAGAGGAAACGAGTGTAAACGGTCTCTAAAACAACTGGGCGAAGCTGCTGAAAGAGCTTTGAACTGGCCTTGGACGCAACGAAAAGTCGGGTGGGGGGGGGGGGGGGGGGGGGGTGAAGATTGGTCCGAAAAGAACGTCTTATCTCTTCAAAGCCAAAGTGTCTGAAATGTCTGCCATTGTCCATCTGTCGACTGCCAGAGTCTAAATGCCAAGTCCGATGAACCAACCGAAAGCTTTTCACCATGGACGTAAGGTAGTCGACTGATGTAATTTGCTACCGCAGCAATAATATCAATAATTCTCACAACACCTGTTACAAATCACCATATCGTCCTGTCCCTGTCCGAGAACATACAATAAAGTGCAGCAGGGGAAGATCGAGGCCTCGGAGTCATGATCCAGGTCGGCCCACCTCTCGAGATTGTGTAGGAATGATGACGCGGCGAAACAATCGGAGACGAGGGATGTTTCTACTGATGATCGGTGAACCCTTGCTGTACATGCTTCACTGTGGAGTTGTTATTATCAAATTAGACGTTGTGGTAGCATCTGCCAGGCTTTGCTGCCTCAAGCGATATTCATTTGCTTTTGCTATGATTGGTTATAGGCCTATACAGCGGATCAACATAATGACACACGGGTAGTAACTCATAAGTGGCCTGCTCTACTTCTAACCCAAGCCCGAGTCCACGAAAGTGCACGAACTCTGTAGCACCGGCGCGAGGATCCTGAAATACTTTAGGTAGATTTTAAACTTCAAATTTGGCCCGGGCAGCGCCATTAGGCTACTCATTCCGATTTCCAACTGCCAAGGGATTTTTAAGTGCGCAACAATACACACGTGTGTCCGATCTTTAGCCAGGGGGAAATTACTAGAAGTCCACATGAGAAAAATCACAACCTTCACTGGGACCTGAACCCGAGACCTCCAGCACTCGAGGCAGACACCATACCTTGCAAACCCCCCCCCCCCCCCCCCCCCCCCCCCAATCAACCCCAGCTCTTATGCATTTTGTTCGCCTTTCAACACATAGGCATCCACATTGCATCCCCAAAAATTTTTAAGAACTGATCATCTCACACAGAGTATTGTATCGTGCTAGTTTCAGTGCAGACTATAGTGATTACTTAGTTTTGGAGCATTTCTTATAAAGTTAGTTTCAATTCGTAACCGTTTCTTCCTGGCTTTTTTGGCCTTATTTTGAAAGGGTTTGGCCGATTTTCTAAATGTTGATCTGGCAACCCTGTACGACAACAGGTTTCTTCAGTCGAAAAGTTTATGTAAGTTCTGCTCCCTGCTGCTGTTGTGTAATAATCGTCCCTGGAAATTAATCACTTGTGTGGGGATTTATGTTGTGCAAACACTGACGCTGAGTTTAGTTGAAATGGCACCAAAAGATGTACGTAGTATGTTGTTTACAGTGCAGTCATTGTAGTTTGAGACTTGTGATAACGTAAGTAATAGTTACTCAAGTACTCAGCTGAGACAAATGAAATTAATTAAACCAGCACTGTAGTAGTGTCTGGGAGCAGATCAAGCAAATTGAAACAAATGCAGTCAGTAGTTTTGAATTCTAGCCCGTTTTTTAAATAAAAATTAATTCAGTTATTTGCATAATTATTACATTTAAAGATATGTGAATAAGTAAAACTAGTTTGGAAAACGGAGAAATTACAGTGTGAGTGGAAAACGTCATTATTAATACCCATTATTAAGAAATGAGACAAGTTGAAATGTGAAAATTGTAGAGACTAGAGGAATATCTGGCTATCCTCCGAATAACGGCCACATATTATGGCGGCCAAAAAAAAAACAAGGCCTCTGTCACATGTAAATTGCGGAATTCCGGCGACTATACCGCCACTTCCGAGAGTATCTTGGTTTGGGGCTAAACTAGATGGCTGGGACTCACGAGCAAAGCTGCAGGAGATGCGGAAACTGCTGCTCTTGAGTCCCAGCCATCTAGTTTAGCTCCAATCTTGGCTGCTACGCGCAGCGTGGGAAATAACCTCGGTGGTGGCGGTAGTCGCCGAAAGTGCGCAATTTAAGTCACCGGAAGTCCGCAATTTACATGTGACTGAGGCCATGTTAGGGTGTTTTTATGGCCGCCATAATATGTGGCTGTTATTCGGAGGATAGCCGAGTATCTCAATATCACTATTATCTACAAACTAGAAGATACTATCGGCAGTACTGTTAAACAGGCTACAGTCCCTTATAGAGGTTCTATTGTATTTCTACCTTTAGAATCCAAAATTTATTGCCTAGATGCATGGATGTCAAATTATTCACACAATGCCATAATGGACACACAAAAAATTGAATTAACAACTGAGTCTGTTTTACACCTGCAAATTGCCAAAAAGTTGATGAAACCTAACAACTAAGAGAGCACTAAAAAATGCTTTTGAGTTGCCCATGTCCGTTTTGCGTGGGGGTACTACTTACTCTGTTGGATGGCTCATGATCCACACATACAGTATACAGGAACAGAAATCCTATGTTCTTTCTTCACCGAGGAGGTTTAGTGTCAGAAACTCACAGGGTGGGTTGAGGCATATTAAAACTTCACAAGCACAACAATAACCACATTTGTTCTGCAATATATTCATGTATATAAAAGATATTAGGAAATTAAATATTCATACTGGAATACCTCTGCAAGTTTTATTAGTGAAATGTTAGCAAACATTTAGCAAACAAGCTTAGAAGTGTGAGTGAAATTAATGTGTTACTCAGGGTTGAAAGAGTTACAAGGTGAACAATGTGAATGGGAAATCCTAGTGTCCATCAGTGGATTAGAATGATGCTGTCATGCAAGTAGATAGAGACTTATTGTGAAACATTAATGCATGGTAAATCCACAATGGTCATTAGTCAACTGCTTGACCCTGTGGACTTATCATGGAGTATAGTTTTCAGTAGTTGCTGTGACGTAGCGGCTAATGCTCACCTGCATATTGGAAGGTCATGGAATCGAGTCCTGACAGCACTCGACTTTTAAAAAAAATGACCCTGTCTCCCAGGTCAACCTAGCCTTAAATGGGTACTAGGTGGAGTCCTGGGAAGTAAAGGCGGCCAGTGGGATGTTGACAGTATTACCTACCGAGTGCCGATTGGTCTATAAAAATATAGGTCTAGCCCTGTATGCCCAATACACATGAAGGCGTGGAAAGGGTCTTCAACAGTTATAAAGGAGAGGGTTGGGGGGGGGGGGGGTGGAGAATATATTGGGCATTTTATGAAGAGAAGCAGACAGAAAATTACAAAACAGGCACTGAAATGGAAAACAAATGTATGGCGGAAAATGAGGTTATCCTAGAGAAACACTAAGAGGAACCTTCTTGAAGAGGTCAAAGCTGTCGACTAGATTCCATCCGTCATTTCAAAACGAGTGCACAGAATAGAATGGAATTTAAGAATAGAATGTGAGCCCTATGTGAGATATAATGACACAACAGGGTAATGATGATAATTATACAAACAGAAATGTTGAATGAACGACCTCAGGTATCTTTTTTACTTGGCTGGTTTTTACTCTGGAACAGCATATGGTTGTAGTAAAGTCACCCATCTTGTGAACAGAAGAATTATAGGCTCTTAACATTTATTTTCAGTCAAATGACTGCGTAGTCACAGTTACAATTGAGATGGGCCACCAGGCAAATTTCTTGAAGGAACCATCTCCAGAAGGCTTCACCCATGACTGGACAGTGTTTGTTCGAGGATTTGAGGGGAGTCGGCTAGAATATTTTGTGGAGAAAGTTGTGTTCAAACTGCACAAGACTTTCAAATCTCCAGTGAGAGGTAAGATTTCAATTATTCCTTTACATTTAGTGCTCGTTTTATTGAGCAGTCGAGGAGCAGCTGGCTGAGCGGTTCGTGCGGGAGACCTGGGTTTGACCTCCGGTAAGGTGATGAAGTTTTTCTGTTGGCTGTAAAATTAAACTTTCTAACATGTGACAGGAGAGATGATGCATCATTAAATCGTCTGTCTACACCGCCCTAAAATTGGTAAATACAGACAGTAGTGACAGTGGCAGGTTTACTGAGTAATCAGAGCCATCACATGTTCTACTTGTGAATGTTGCCTTATAACTTATCACTATTCAGCAATGATCTATTGCTCTCTGAGAAAACACAGTTTTAATCGGTGTATGGCTGCTCATAGTCCATGCTATCAGATGTGGACAGTAATAGGAGTTAATTGGAGTTCCCAGGAGCAGAATCCCGTTGCTGTCAATGCTGAGGTCTGTGCGCTTATCAGTAACAAGTCAGATGTGCTGATCTACACAGTCAGGCCTATTATATGAGGAAATAAACCGAATAAAGCGCACAAGCCTAAACCATCTAACTAAGGAATTTGGAAAGTCATTCTCTTCACTACTTAACCAACAATGTACACCTGAAGAGCTATCTTTCGATCTCTGGGACTCCGAATTATTGACACTCAATGTGTCAACATCCATCCTGAACCTGGGAAACAAAGATGCTGAGCCCGCTTTAGTAATGAAAGCACTCACAATGGAACACCTCAACAACATGTTCCCACAGGACAGCTGGACGAGAATCTACACGGATGGATCAGCAAAAGGGGCAACTACGAATGGTGGGGCAGGTGTTTACATAAAACACCCAGATGCCACTACTGTGTCCCTAGCAGCCCCCACCGGACGAACTTGCTCTAACTACAAGGCAGAACTCTCAGCCCTATTGATGGCAGCACAGTATATGAACAATCTGCAAATCACCGCAGGCAAGATAGTTTTACTCACTGACTCACTGTCAGCTATACAGGCCCTTGAGTCCAAACCTACCAACAGCACACTACAAAGTCTAACACAGGAACTTGCTATGTTGTCAAAAAAGGCAGAAATTCACTTGCAGTGGATTCCGTCTCACTGTGGCATCAAAGCAATGAAAGCGCAGATGCTTTAGCCAAGGAAGGCAGTAACAAACCACAGACCTACCAGCCACTATCTTTTCCAGAAGTCAAAACTCTCATTAAGAGAAAATCAGAAACAGATTGGAAAACCAACACTGGTTATAACTACGGAAAAGATTTTCTGAAACACTTGAACAGAACAGACCAAGTCACAGTTTTTCGCTTACGCACTTGACACTGCAGACTCAATAAACACTCACATAAATTAGGTATGAGCCAAACAGCTCTCTGCCAGTGCCTTCGTGCTGAACAGACTCTAGAACATGTCCTGCAAGACTGTCCTCTCCTGGCGGAGCTGCGGAGCGACATATGGCAACACTCAGTAGAACTGACAACTAAGCTTTGGGGAAACCTAAGAGACCTTGAAAAGACATCTCAGTTTATGACCCACAGTGGATTATGCGCATAACCAGAGATCGCTGAAGAAGAAGTAGATATGAGGAAATAAGAGTGCATTGGCATTTACGGCTCGCTTTGCAGTCAGAATGGTCCAAGAAGCCAGCAGTGCCTTCTCCATGACCATCAGCAGTGCGACAATGGAGGTGTTGGCAGTGACACAAGCTCACATGTGACTAGAATCACAGGACTATTCTCATGCATGTGTGTGCTGAGTGGTTCTATGAGCATAATCCGGCAGGTCAAGACAGGCTGCATACGCAGACAGTGGATTAGGTCATTGCAAAACTCTCCTGTGTGTGCAGTCACCTTCATATTTGTCCCAGATGTTGTTGGCAATGAAAGAGCTGATATACTGGCAGGTTCTGCATTAGTTGCAGATGGCTGGTCTATAGATCAAGCAGACATTGTCAATGGCCTTAGAGAGATGGGACGTTCTACAGATTTTGGAAGCAACATGTCCACATCACTGCTAAGAATCCCCCATATGGGTTCCAGGGCCCTATTATAGAGAAAACAAGAATAGACCCACTGCCTCCAATAAGCATGTCGTTAAAGTCGACTAATGGGAGCTTCCTTTGCAGTCAGAGTGCATCTGCCTGAGTGGCAAGGAACCAAGAGTCTGCACACAAATGTGTCAGATCTGTCAAACGGGTGCACACACAACACTTAGGTTCTGGAACAGGACTGCAGTCCAGAAGTGGACGAATAACCAGAACTTTCCACCAGAGTTTACAGCTGGTGAACTCAAAGAAAGAAGAGAAGAGAGACTGCTAAGAATATGAGAATTTGGAGTGAAGATTGGCACAGCCAAGCATGAGAGGCACATTGGACGCAAAAGAGGTCATGACAACCAGCAAAAAACTGGCAATATTAACTGTGTGATGCTGATGAAAATGTTGAAAGGGCAATCTGAGCACCTATGGATGTGTCCGGAGTGCTGTGAAGATAATCCAACTCATAACTCAAATCAACTACATGTACCTACAGCTGACATAATTAGGACCCTAATTTGGTACTAGCAAAAAAGAATGTGGTAAAGGGTAGACTAAATGGTTCGAGTGATCAGTGTGGAGGTACATTTAAATACTTATGATCCTAAGAGAATGTTGCAGCGGGAAGTGACTAGCAAATCCGAGCAACACTCAGCGCTTAGGGGGAAAGACAAGATGAACATTCAGTCAGGCTTTTACCATTGGAATAGGAACTCTGCACTGGCTGCTAGAGACGGAGACAGAGCACTTATGGGAATGTCCTGAGTGATGCGACCTGGGTTCCTAAATCAACCCAGCTAAGTAAGTGCATCTGTAACCAACTGACCACTGGAAATTTACATATGCATGTTTTTTTTTAATCTTAGAAAAACAAAGCATGTATGGTTGCTTTGTCAATGTTGAATGACAAATTCTGCATAATGGCTTCCATGCTGCTTGAGAGATTTATTAGAAAATGTTTGATGTTTAGTGTATCCTTTCAGTGCTGTCAAACTGTGTGATCCCCCTGATGTTTAGTGAATCCTTTCAGTGCTGTCAGACTGTGTGATCCCCCTGATGTTTAATGTATCCTGTCAGTGCTGTCAAACTGTGTGATCCCCCTGATGTTTAGTGTATCCTTTTAGTGCTGTCAAACTGTGTGATCCCCCTGATGTTTAATGTATCCTTTTAGTGCTGTCAAACTGTGTGATCTCCCTGATGTTTAATGTATTCTTTCAGTGCTGTCAAACTGTGTGATCCCCCTGATGTTTAATGTATCCTTTCAGTGCTGTCAAACTGTGTGATCCCCCTGATGTTTAGTGTATCCTTTTAGTGCTGTCAAACTGTGTGATCCCCCTGATTTTTAGTGTATCCTTTCAGTGCTGTCAAACTGTGTGATCCCCCTGATGTTTAATGTATCCTTTCAGTGTTGTCAAACTGTGTGATCCCCCTGATGTTTAGTGTATCCTGTCAGTGCTGTCAAACTGTGTGATCCCCCTGATGTTTAGTGTATCCTGTCAGTGCTGTCAAACTGTGTGATCCCCCTGATGTTTAGTGTATCCTGTCAGTGCTGTCAAACTGTGTGATCCCCCTGATGTTTAGTGTATCCTGTCAGTGCTGTCAAACTGTGTGATCCCTCTGATGTTGAGTGTATCCTTTCAGCGCTGTCAAACTGTGTGATCCCCCTGATGTTTAGTGTATCCTTTCAGTGCTGTCAAACTGTGTGATCCCCCTGATGTTTAGTGAATCCTTTCAGTGCTGTCAGACTGTGTGATCCCCCTGATGTTTAATGTATCCTGTCAGTGCTGTCAAACTGTGTGATCCCCCTGATGTTTAGTGTATCCTTTTAGTGCTGTCAAACTGTGTGATCCCCCTGATGTTTAATGTATCCTTTTAGTGCTTTCAAACTGTGTGATCTCCCTGATGTTTAATGTATCCTTTTAGTGCTGTCAAACTGTGTGATCCCCCTGATGTTTAATGTATCCTTTCAGTGCTGTCAAACTGTGTGATCCCCCTGATGTTTAGTGTATCCTTTTAGTGCTGTCAAACTGTGTGATCCCCCTGATGTTTAGTGTATCCTTTCAGTGCTGTCAAACTGTGTGATCCCCCTGATGTTTAATGTATCCTTTCAGTGTTGTCAAACTGTGTGATCCCCCTGATGTTTAGTGTATCCTGTCAGTGCTGTCAAACTGTGTGATCCCCCTGATGTTTAGTGTATCCTGTCAGTGCTGTCAAACTGTGTGATCCCCCTGATGTTTAGTGTATCCTTTCAGTGCTGTCAAACTGTGTGATCCCCCTGATGTTTAGTGTATCCTGTCAGTGCTGTCAAACTGTGTGATCCCTCTGATGTTGAGTGTATCCTTTCAGCGCTGTCAAACTGTGTGATCCCCCTGATGTTTAGTGTATCCTGTCAGTGCTGTCAGACTGTGTGATCCCCCTGATGTTTAGTGTATCCTGTCAGTGCTGTCAGACTGTGTGATCCCCCTGATGTTTAGTGTATCCTTTTAGTGCTGTCAAACTGTGTGACCCCCCCCCTGGAGGTTCTGTGACTCTGTTTGGGGGGGGGGGGGAGGGGGAAGAGTAGACCCACTAACCTGTAATGAACATATCATTAAATGAAATTAATTAGAGGTATGCTGAAATCGATATGCCGGGCCGAAAATGCAGATTTTGCAGACTGTCTGTAAACCACAACACAAGGTCAGCTTCCCTTTTAAGAGAGAATTCAAAAGAACCACAAGAAGTAATGTGATATAAAACATGAATGTTTTTCCTATCTTGACATTAGTTTAAGCCTCTTGACACCCTGCAGAGAAAACATCACCAACTTAGACCTGATCTCAGCTAGTACATACGTGCTGGCTGAATCATGATCTGGTTGTATCTTAACAGGTTATGTTCCTGTACCTTGTTGCATTCTCAGCAAAATTTTAAATTTTTTTTTTTTTAAGTTTGTAGGAGAGCTTTACAACACAGCTCCAATAAATGAAGTAATTTGATACCGGATCAGGAGAAGTTTCTTCACATAAATAATAATAATAATTGCGGTGCCATCTCCACAGTGAAGGTTGGTTACAGTAGTGTACCACTGCTATCTTTGTAAATATTTTGTGATGAGGCCCCAATCTCCTCCCTGGCATGATTCTCGCACCATTGTCTGAAATCTACAAGGACCTTCATACTTAAAACTTTCCACTGCTGGGAACGAACCCTAGTACTTGAAGATCATGAAATTGTTAATCACATTTGCTAACCTGTAAATCACGAAGCCGCACACATTGCTCACTGATAAATCAATTCACCCCCCCCCCCCCCCCCAACCCCCCCACTCCGCCCATCCTCTCTGCAGACCAGGCAAGCTGATCAGAGGCCAACCAAAAACATGTGGAGAAGGGAACTGAAGAACGAAGTAAAATATATGGGGAGGACACGGGGTGAGCTGCCTGTAATAGCAGAGGAAAGGATGACTTGGTGGGAGATGGTTGAGGGCCCAGAAAAAAATGAAAGAAAAGAGCAGCCGGACCCCCCACCCACCCCCATCCAAATTTAAAAGTTAAACTCTGTCTTTCAGATGACTGTTTACAACAAAATAACCCAGCTATATTGTGTGTTTAAACTACTTGTTTTTTTGTCTTTGCTTAATATTTTCTTTCAGAAGATTATAATGAGCAATTGGCCCACTATTTTTTAAAACATTTTTGTTTTTTTAATTTCAGTCATAACTGAGCCACCTTTTCGAGTAACAGAATCTGGATATGCAGGGTTTATTTTGCCTATTGAAATACACTTTAAGAACAAGCAGACTCCGAGAAAAATCGTATTTTCGTATGATCTGTTTCTGAATGCAAAGGACAGCCCTCCGATAAACAATGTTCGTTATGAGAAGTTAAAGTTTCAAAACCCGACACCAGAATTCAAGGCAAAACTGATTAAAGCTGGCGGGGTAAGAATGTCTTACAGAATATATGATTGTTAGTAATGTACTTCTAGAGTGTATACATTAATGGAGGGGTAAGTCTGTCTTACAGAATATATGATTGTTAGTAATGTACTTCTAGAGTGTATACATTAATGGAGGGGTAAGTCTGTCTTACAGAATACAGAATATATGATTCTTTATAATGTACTTCTAGAGTGTATACATTAATGGAGGGGTAAGTCTGTCTTACAGAATATATGATTCTTTATAATGTACTTCTAGAGTGTATACATTACAGATGGGGTACATGTGTCTTACAGAATATATGATTGTAATGGACTTTTATGGTGTATGATTTTGTTCTGCCACTTGTATCAGTGTCTACCTCTTGTTTTCTTGCCATAGACAATTCTCTTTTTTAATGTGTTACCTGAGAACACGATTTTAAAAGCCTTCTCTAAAAAAGGTGGCCTCAATGCTGAGCCATCTGTGTAAGCCTGGATTTCCAATGCTAGGTAGCTGTTAGTGGTGTTGGTAGCTGTTTGTAGTGTCACTATCTGTTTGTGGTGTCCAAGTCAGTCACACATCTCAAGCTCTGAGGGCTGAGGGGAATGGGTCATGATAAATATGTTAGCTAGAACACAGTTGGTTAAGATACCCTTTATATAAGACAGACACATTTAAATTTTCTGACTTGTGTGACCCAGACCATATTTAATCTGTAAAGTACAAGTAAAGGTCCCTACACATGCCAGCGGCACATTGGGCATATCTGGCTAGGTCATATTTTTTTTGACCGATGGATGATGTGGTCAGCATCTCGCCAGCCACCTTTACTTCCTAGGATTTTGCCTGATACCCATTTCAGTCTGGGCAAACCTGGCAGCCAAGGGTCATGTTTGAAATAAATCTGGCACTGTGTAGATTGTAACCCATGACCTTCAGATCCCTAGTTGAGCTACACCACAGCTGCTCCATTTTTAATCTGTATTTTGTTTCGAGTGTGTGTTTATATTTTTCATTGTCAGTGAGAACTTGTTTTAGTACATAATGTTTAACTGAAACGTGCCTTAGATATATTTGTTTTCATAAGATGAAAGATTTATTACAATATATGCATGCTGCAAAATTTATTTCAAAGTTTTATCCCTAACACAGATTGAACAAGTTCCAGATCCATCAAGTGAACTGTTTGGTTCTCCAGTCAGATCTGAGAAAAAGGCATTACCAAAAACACCAAAAGATAAAGAGAAGGACAAGGTAAATTCTTGAAAAATCCTCTAAATTTTTGGTAACAAAGCTGGTTTTGTGTTAATGATCACAATATCAGATGAACAGTTAGAATGTTTAATCAGCACTGCACGGCAGCTGTTGCAGAAACTTGTCAGTACAGAGGTTTTAATTCAGTTAACTAGGTGGCAGGCTTCGTTCTGGCCAGTCACATCTGCAACCAACATCACTGCGCTCAGGACATTCCCTTATTCAATACATCCCTATTTACAGCAGCCAGCACACATTTCCGGTTCTGATGGTACCAAAAACAGTTCTATTATCTGTCTGTCTTGTGTTTTCTCTTAGTATAGACAACAAGCTGAACATTTCAGGCAAAAAACAGATCATTCACAAATCTGTAACAGTTGTTAGCCAGTCAGGCAAAAAAAAAAAGAAAAAACTGAGACAAACACAGTGTTGTACATGCATCTGTTGCAGAAAATGTTTTAAAGCAATAAAAAACCAAATGTATGCAGAAAATAAAGACCACAAGGTAATACAGATATTTACCAGAAAAACAGCCATAGTTACATTATGAATGTGAAGGCAAAGTAAAAACTTTATTATGCTTTGAGTGGGGAAAAAAAAAAACAATTTTAAGAACAAAGGAAGAATAACAATTATTTATGTCTAAGACAACTAAAAAAGTAATAACAGTTTTTTTTTTTTTTTAAATAAGCTAAGATAGTAATGTTGTGCATTAAAATGGATGGCAACACACAATAATATTCGACTCACCAACGCAGAGCAGTTTCTGTTGATTTACAATGTCAAATAAGTTTTTATTTGATAAAGATCTTTCAGTGTGGCAATAGATAGAACTAAGTCTCTTGACAGAACCATCAGTTTAGACTTGAATCTGTTTAGAAATAGGTGGGTAGATTTGAAACAAGTGCTAGAGTTGTTCCTTTGGAAGATGAATAAGACTTGTGCCGATTATTTTTTGACGAAATCTAATCTTAGGAAAAATTGATTTATAAGAATGAATCTTGGCATTTGGCACGTTATTTCTTATGAATAAATATTTTGAACTTTCTTCTGTGTATGTTCTTAAATGTCACAGCCAAAATGCAGTCAGTAAAGGTCACAGTTTGTCTCAAAGCCACTGTACATTTTTTCATGACATAATTTTGGTGTAAGGTCAAATATATTCTTGTTGGTCCAAGTACATACTGCTGTCCTGACCTGCAGTACTATTTGGTCAATAATAATGTGGTCCTTGCCCATCAGCGCCAGTTTTTCACTTTTGAATGTTTTATTTTATGGTAATAATGATATATTTACTGTTCCAATACTTTGCCTGGTTTGCAGGAGAAAGTGAAGAAGAAAAAGAAAAAATCAAGTTCAGAGTTCAAATCTGCATCACCAGCTCCATCTTTGTCGTCACTGTCACCAATGTCCTCTGATAATGATGATAGTCATACTACTCCGCCACCACCTCCTACACCAGTTAAAAAAGAAAAGGAGAGCTCTTCTGGGAAGAAGGAGAGTTCATCATCATCACAGCCAAAACAAGATTCTTCTTCATCACACAAGGACAGGTCAAAGCATAGAAGCAGCTCCTCACATTCTTCCCACAGAGAGAGGCCAGACAAAGAAACTTCACACAAATCTCACAAGCACAAAGACAAGACGAAAGAAAGGGATAGAAGCAGCTCACATAAAGACAAAGATGCTGTAAAGAAAGATAAAGTGGTAGATTCCCAAAAGGTTGTTAAAGAAAATTTGGAATCCAGAAAGGAAAGAGAGGGCTCACATTCTTCTGGGAAAAGTTCCACGTCGTCTTCTCAAGTTGATAACAAAGTTGCAGCACAGGTATCTCATAAAGAAAGGGAGAAAAATGTGCCAAGCAAGGACAAAGACACAACAAGATCCTCAAAGGAAAAACTTCATAGTTCCAGCAAAGAGAAAGAGAAATTACCCAAGGAAAAGCATTCCTCCCATAAAGATGTTTCTAATACTTCACATTCAGAACCTAAAAAGGTAAAAGAAGATATAAATAAAGAAAAGATATCTAAAGACATTGATGAGCATCATAAAAGCCACAGGAGACCAGTGGAATCAGCAGATGATGTTGATAAAAAAAAACTTAAGAGAAGTTCCTCTGTTGCCAGTACAGATGAGAAATCTCTGAAAGTAAAGAGCAGTTCTGGAAAAGAGAAACATGTTTCGAGAGATAATAAAGAAAAGGAATCATCGAAAGAAGTTAAAGAATCAAAACCATCATATTCGGATAAAAGCAAGCATGAGAAAAGTCATCATCCAGAAAAACAAAGACACAGTCACTCTTCAGAGACAAAGCAGAAGGAATCCTCAGCAAAACGCTCAGGAACTCCTCAAAAACAAGAGATCGTTGGTAAATCGGAGAGTTTCACTCATTCAGAGAGGCTGGCTATGACTGCAAACTTTCAACCACAGCTATTGTTGTCACCACTCAAAAGTAAATCAGATGAGGAAGAAAGCCCAGTTGCATCACCTCTTCCTGTGGACAAAACTGAGCTGAAGAGCTCCCCACTCCACTCAAGTCCTGACAGCCCATCTTCTGCTGTTTCTTGTGAAGACAAGTCAGACCATGAAATACCAGATCCTCAAGAAGATGAGGACAAGCACATCGTCTCTGGTCTCACAGACAGTGACAGTGATTCAGAAGAAGAAGCTCCTTTTGTGAAATCTCAGCAGAAAGATCTGAAATCAATCTTGAACAAACAGTCCCAGCAGACCACTGAAGTAAATAAAAGTTCTTCGCAAAAGATAGTTAGGAGAGGGTCAGCGGAAGAGAAACAAAAGAAAGCAGAATATGAGCCCAGTGAGGAAAAAAAGTTCAGCACATCAGAAAAGAAAGCAAATGTCTCAGAACCTGTCAAGACAAAAAGTGTAGAGCGGAAGGTAGAATATCCTGACTCTGAGGTAGAACACGTTAATACAGCTAACAGTACTGACAGTCAGAATTGTAATGGACTGGATATTTTGGCACCAAATGGCATTTCTATTGGAGATCTGATTGCTGTCAATGAACAGATTGAAAAAGCACAGATAGATTCCAACTATGAACTGCTAGAGAGAGTTGCAGAAATCATTGGGGAAACTGATGATTTTGATATCGGTGATGTATCTCTCTCGTTTGACATTTGCAGTGTGGATAAAGCTGTTGTCCTGCAGATTCAGGCTTTGTTACGTGAGTACTAAAACTCTGTTATTGATGAAGTTTAATAAACGATTTGCAGTCATGGAGACCACATGCTGGTATTTTTTAGCATTTGTATCATTTGAGAATTCTTTTTTTCTAGCCTCTTTTAACCATTTGGGTGCGGTTATTTTTAACGTCGACTTTAGAGAACTCTGCATGATGTAAGCATATACAAACTCTTCTAGTCTCTCAGAATTGTTTTTTTCTACTCTTGCATCTCTCTACTGTCTGTTTCACTTGTCTTTTTCTTCTCTTGCTACCTTCTTCTTTTGCTGTCTTGCTGATACCAGGTAGTAGCCCAGTAATGTGGCTTTCAGTATTTGTCTTGCACCTCTCGATTGGCTTGGGTGGTAGTTCCCCCCCTACCCCCATCTTTTTGCAGTTTTCAGCTACACCGTCAATCACTCTCTTTCATGGTCTTCCTCTCGCCTTCCTCCCAGATCTTGCAATCATCTGTGCTAATAAAGTAGTGCACAACTTATCATGTGTTGCACTTTTCCCCTTGAGAATAAACCATTCCTGTGTTCATGTTAGTCTGTGTACCAAACTTTTTCTAGCTAATGTTTTAAATAGTTGGTTTACAAATACCAGTGTTTCTGCTAGCTAATAACATGTTTCATATAGCTGGTTCGCAAATACCAGTGTTTCTGCTAGCTAATAACATGTTTTATATAGCTGGTTTGCAAATACCAGTGTTTCTTCTAGCTAATAACATGTTTCATATAGCTGGTTCACAAATACCAGTGTTTCTTCTAGCTAATAGCATGTTTCATATAGCTGGTTCGCAAATACCAGTGTTTCTGCTAGCTAATAACATGTTTTATATAGCTGGTTCACAAATACCAGTGTTTCTTCTAGCTAATAACATGTTTCATATAGCTGGTTCGCAAATACCAGTGTTTCTGCTAGCTAATAACATGTTTCATATAGCTGGTTCGCAAATACCAGTGTTTCTGCTAGCTAAAAAGATGTTTCATATAGCTGGTTCGCAAATACCAGTGTTTCTGCTAGCTAATAACATGTTTCATATAGCTGGTTCACAAATACCAGTGTTTCTGATAGCTAATAACATGTTTCATATAGCTGGTTCGCAAATACCAGTGTTTCTGCTAGCTAAAAAGATGTTTCATATAGCTGGTTCGCAAATACCAGTGTTTCTGCTAGCTAATAACATGTTTCATATAGCTGGTTCACAAATACCAGTGTTTCTGCTAGCTAATAACATGTTTCATATAGCTGGTTGGCAAATACCAGTGTTTCTGCTAGCTAATAACATGTTTCATATAGCTGGTTCACAAATACCAGTGTTTCTTCTAGCTAATAACATGTTTCATATAGCTGGTTCACAAATACCAGTGTTTCTTCTAGCTAATAACATGTTTCATATAGCTGGTTCACAAATACCAGTGTTTCTTCTAGCTAATAACATGTTTTATATAGCTGGTTCACAAATACCAGTGTTTCTGCTAGCTAATAACATGTTTCATATAGCTGGTTCGCAAATACCAGTGTTTCTGCTAGCTAATAACATGTTTTATATAGCTGGTTCGCAAATACCAGTGTTTCTTCTAGCTAATAACATGTTTCATATAGCTGGTTCACAAATACCAGTGTTTCTGCTAGCTAATAACATGTTTCATATAGCTGGTTCACAAATACCAGTGTTTCTGCTAGCTAATAACATGTTTTATATAGCTGGTTCACAAATACCAGTGTTTTCCTTTCCTTGCTCATAAGTGAATGCCTATATTGCTGATTTTAAATACATGCTTGTAGCTTGAATTGTTAAAAAAAAAGTATTATTTCTAATTTTAAGTTATTGCACAAAACGCTTAAAGCCCTTTACTTACATTCCTGCGGCTTAAGGGAAGATAGATTAAATGTATGCTTACAATTACTGATTAACAAAATGTCTTTATGCACGTGTTTTATTGGATTTAATCTCAATAATTTCAGTGGGAGCAAAACAAATCTAACTGCTGTGATGTGTGACATAAATTAATATTTCTATACTTTTCTGGTTTCAAATTATGAAGGGCTTGAATATAAAATTGTATATATATATATAATGTTTGAATGTGAATGGTAAAAGATCAGAATTGTCTATTTATTTAGCTACTACTATTGACTGACTTGAAGCAATCTTGATCGATCATAACGGTTTTGATGTAAATAATATAAACTAAGTCATCTAACACATAGTGGTACGTTTTGCAATAAAGATGCTTATTTTTAAGATTCTTGTTGTGTGTCGATTCTATATTTAATGGAATGGATATATTTTGTTGAGAATTTGAATGCGATAAATGTGAACTGCTAAGTAACACATAAGGTACTGACATAGATTGCCATTGGGACGATGCATGTAGTCTCAAGTCAGTAATCTGTTATATTCTAGTGCAGCGGTTCTCAGCCTGCCAGTTGCTGCCCTTTTTTGGGTTGAACTACCCTTTCATATGGGTTGCCTAAGATCATTGGAAAATACATATTCATTGAAGTTATGAAGGAAAATCATTGTTAGGGGGGTCGCCACAACATGAGGGAACTGTATTAAAGGGTCGCTGCATTAGGATAGATTGAGAGCCACTGTTCTAATGCTTATTTAGACATGTAGATCGTCTTCTGACAGCTAGTCCAAGTATGTTTATCTGGGACAATGTTCTATTTCCATGATGTCAATTGAACCTCGACCTGCCTGTCTGCACTAGAGGGCTATGTTCTGAACTTGTGGGTATTTGATAGCAACACCACATTTGTCTGCTTCCTCGGCGAGTACAACTTGGCTTACTGAGCTATTGTATGGATGTGCTGGTCCAATACTATTAATTGCATTCTGCTGGTAATCTGAGGCTGTGACAGTGTGCAGATATATATGTATATGTGTTATGCATCCTCCTTGTTCAAAATGTCATGGGAAGGCTAGCCATTTAATGTGTAAAGAGAAGGAGGGAAAAGAGAGCAAGAGAAAGAGGGTTAGGGGTTGGAAATCTTCAGGTTCTTGTTTGATAAAAATGCACCTTGTTATCTTGATTGATTCACACCATTTTCTTGAGTAACTGATAAGAGTCCATGATTCACACCATCATCTTGAATAACTGATAAGTGTCAGTGATTCAAACCATCATTTTGAGTGACTGCCCACAGTCCATGATTCACACCATTATTTTGAGTGACTGCCAGAGTCCATGATTCACACCATCATTTTGAGTGACTGCCAGAGTCCATGATTGACAACATCATTTTGAGTGACTGCTAGAGTCCATGATTCACACCATCATTTTGAGTGACTGCTAGAGTCCATGATTCACACCATCATTTTGAGTGACTGCCAGAGTCCATGATTCACACCGTCTTCTTGAGTGACTGCCAGAGTCCATGATTCACACCATCATTTTGACTTCTTGAGTTAGATGTGGATGTCATAATACTAACTAGTTTTTTATGAGTTAGTGAAGGTTAGCAAGATTTGCACTTAGTCTCCTTTAGTTAGAGATAAACACCATGATTCACACACAGTCTTCTTAAGTTGAAGGTTACCCTGTGATTCACACCAAATCTTCTTGAGTTAATGGTTACCCTGTGATTAATAACCTTATCTTCTTGAGCACACCATTTTTTTGAGTTGGAGGTGAACATGATTCACACAGTTGAACACCATGATTCACACAGTTGAACACCATGATTCACACAGGTGAACATCATGATTCACACAGGTGACCATCATGATTCACACAGGTGAACATCATGATTCACACAGGTGAACATCATGATTCACACAGGTGACCATCATGATTCACACAGGTGAACATCATGATTCACACAGGTGAACATCATGATTCACACAGGTGAACATCATGATTCACACAGGTGAACATCATGATTCACACAGTTGAACATCATGATTCACACAGGTGAACATCATGATTCACACAGGTGAACATCATGATTCACACAGGTGAACATCATGATTCACACAGTTGAACATCATGAGTCCCCTTACCATATTTTTTTTTAAAAAATTAGAATATGACACAGACCAACATCGACTCCTTTTTTCAGAAAGAATGATAAAACAGATGTTGATAATCTGACTTGATGTTGTGGTTATGTATGATTTCTTATGATACTATATTCTCCAAAATAAGTTCGAAAACAAAAGGTAGAGTATCAGTCAGAAGGCCTTGCTCAGCATGTTGACTGCTTAGGTTCTGTTCTGGTTTTATTTAAGCAAAATGCTAGCAATGCTGACTCCATGTGGTAAAGTTGAGCAGAACAAGTAAAGTTAGATTCTATTGTTGTTTTATTTAGGCAAAATGCTAGCAATGCTGACTCCATGTGGTAAAGTTTAGCAGAACAAGTAAACTTAGATTCTATTGTTGTTTTATTTAAGCAAAATGCTAGCAATGCTGACTCCATGTGGTAAAGTTTAGCAGAACAAGTAAACTTAGATTCTATTGTTGTTTTATTTAAGCAAAATGCTAGCAATGCTGACTCCATGTGGTAAAGTTGAGCAGAACAAGTAAACTTAGATTCTATTGTTGTTTTATTTAAGCAAAATGCTAGCAATGCTGACTCATGTAGTGAAGTTGAGCAGAACAAGTGAACTTAGATTCTAATGTAGTTTTATTTAAGCAAAATGCTAGCAATGCTGACTTCATGTAGTGAAGTTGAGCAGAACAAGTAAACTTAGATTCTAATGTAGTTTTTTTAAGCAAAATGCTTGCAATGCTGAATACATGTAGTGAAGTTGAGCAGAACAAGTAAACTTAGATTCTATTGTAGTTTTATTTAAGCAAAATGATAGCAATGCTGACTCCATGTGGTGAAGTTTAGAAGAACGAGTAAAGTTAGGTTCTGTTGTAGTTTTATTTAAGCAAAATGCTAGCAATGCTGACTCCATGTAGTGAAGTTGAGCAGAACAAGTAAACTTAGATTCTATTGTAGTTTTGTTTAGCAAAATGCTAGCAATACTGACTCCATGTGGTGAAGTTGAGCAGAA